TTGAGACTTCTTCCTAAACTTCTTGCATGTTAAAGCCGTGTGCAAAAACCACTTCTTGCCTGTCCTTGCTCATGTCCTCCAAACAAACCCACCTTTCTGGTAATTTAGGTGTCAGAAACTTAACACTTGTGAGCTGGCCTGAAGGATGCAGCAGTGAAGGTCACACAGCCTAAATAAATATGATTATTTTCATGTAATATTTTGTTTGGACCATTTTCTGTCCCTGTGTTCTGTAAGTATTCAAAGGTTCCTGCAGGTGACTGGCAAGGAAGGGCTCTAGAAATCCAGGGGTTTAGCACATGTTTTACTTGATGAAATTCTGAGGTTGTTTCCTTTCAGGCTACTGCAGTTTTGGGTGGGAGAAGCACCTTCACAAAAGTTTCAGTGGTAGCATGGAAGTTTTTTTGTTTATTGAAGTGAATGATAATAAAGCTAGAGGAGAAGGTCAAAACCCCAGTTGCACTTAGGGATTTTTTGAAGAGAGAGAACTGCTGTGGGGGGTGATTCCTCAGCTTTTGTGTCATTCCTTTTTGTAGCAGGAGGCAGATGCAATATATAATCATTTTCAATTAAAAAGAAGCCCATATGTGGTCATATTAACTCATCAATAGCTTTCACTTTCCAAGTAGATCAACCTTCCTGAAATGCACCTGATGAAACTTGGGTAACATTGAATATAATCCTGTTTTACACAAACACCTGCTGTATTTGCATGTTGGTAACTGTTCTTTTCTCCTATTTCCATAGAATTATGTGTGTGAAGAACAAACTGCACACTATTGCCAAAAATTCAAGTCATTTTTCTCTAATTTTAAATGTGTTCTGAAATTCTCTGACTGTCCATCAATTTATACTTTGCAGGTGTATCTGTATGTATATATATTGCTACAGAACTGTAGTATGTTTAACTGATCAAACTCAAATTTGGTTGAAGTTTACAGGCACAAAAGGCCACCACAATGTCATGGAGAAAACTATAATATGATTTTTATTTTCTCTAGAATTAATGCATACACAAAAACAAGTGTAATACAAAGTTTGCAGTGGTACATAACATTGATATATATTTTGCATACACAAAAATTTAGTTAGAAACAAATTTGAAATGACTAACCATGTGTTGGCATCAAAGTTCCTTCATTCTTGTCACTCATTTTGAAATGAGTGACAAAATGTTAGACTCTCCAGAAAAGCAGACTATCAGTGTACAAGTCAATCATACAGGAATGTTCTAATTCAGTCAACAAATTCAGACTGGTTTTGTTTTCATAATTTGAAAGCAGAAGACTTTCCATTTTAATATTGTCAGGACTGGTCTTCTGAGCCTTGCAGTGTCTGTAGTTGTGCAGCTGGCTCTGTTTCAGGCTTCTAAATTGGCACTGAACATGATCATAAGAACTACTTTTCTGGATCTTTTTTAATTTGGAAATTTGTTGTAAAAATTAGAAATTCATCTTTCTTTTTCCTATAACAAAACCTTCTCAGTGATTTTCCATAGAAGAATCTCAGGACTTCTAATTCATTTTTTTGTTGAATTAGTTACAGTTTCTCTCCAGAGAGTTATCCTTGGACCTCATGATGCCTCTGGCCATGTTTTATTTTGGGCTGGGCCCAAGAATTATGTCTTCCCCAAAATCACAAGCCTGAATCTGTTGACAAGTGAGTGTGTCGTGGTCAGGTGGATGGAACACTGGTAGACTGTCATCCAGGCCACCCACTCTCACATCAGGGATGTGCTGCAGAGTTCTTGCACATTATATTTGACTTCAAACAAGAAAAATAATATCTTCAGTGTCTTACAGAAGCTGTTTTAGACGAGCAGCTGAAAAACCTTATTTTTACTGTCATAACATCAATATGAAGGTTATTCAGATTTGAAAACTTTCCAATTATAATTCTTAACAAATATTTAAGCCCACCATTGTGATATGTTCTTGCAGGTTGAAAAAGAAGTAAATTGTCTCCTCCATATGTGTATGGGCATTGTTTCTGAGTTTGGATTGAGAGCAAATGTCTCAGGAAATCAGTTGAAAACATGACTAACCTCAATATTTGTTTGTCCTGTTAAATTAACGGCTCTACTTCAGCAAAGCTGCAAACTCATCTCCTGACTCAGGCACTGTTGGCTGGTTCTGAGCAGTGTGTTGGTGCCAGGCTGGAGATGACACCATGGAGGCCTCACTTGCAGAGTTCATTCCTTCCCTTTCCCAGAGATCAGTCTGGGTTGAACGGCCTCGGCCCGAAGGGAAGGGGAGGAAGGGAAGATGTTTTTCTCCAGAATCACAGCACTCCCTATTTCTCTTTCTTGGTTGGCTGAGGTGATTTATCCCCCCTGCTCCAGAACCCCAGGGCTGTTTCTGTGGTATTTGGGAAGGTGCTGATGCCTCAGCTGGGACAGGACACCAGTGTCCCATTGATTGGGACTGGTCTCCTGTTCGGGGCCGTGTTTCCAACAACAGTCCTGACCTCGCCTGGTTCTCTGCTTGGTTTTGGTTTAGAACATTGGATTCTGGGCAGCAGTTTGGACAAGTCCGTATTTTGTGGGTTTTATTCAAATGCCACCAAACCAAAGATGCTTCAGCCTGTGTCATTTTATGTGGGAATAGTTCTTCAGTGTCTCAACTATGGAATCCTGTGCTTAAGCCCTGGATGCCGAAGGAAGTGTGTTTTCAGCCATTTCTCTGTAATCCCACAATACTTGCAGCTAAGTTAGTGATGTGTTACTGAAGACCATGATCAAAGTCATGTATATCAGAAGGTAAAACTGGATGTCTAGAAGTTGATTTACAAGTATCTAGAGTAATGTTAAAACTCCATGTTCAGATCTTGAGTTTTTTTCTCACTTTCTTTTGTTTTTAACTCTTGCAGGTTTCTTAGGGGTTTTTTTTTGCTTAGATTTCTAGGCTTTAAAAAGTCCAAGAACCTAAATGAAATTCCGTATTTAATTTTCAGAGTTTTTCTGAATTTTCTGACCTGACACCAAGCAAAGTAACCTGAAATTATGAGTCATCCCAATTTTACTGCCCTGTAACCACGTGCTGTACAGCCTGACCCAAATCTCAGGGGTATAACACAACCTGAGCCAGTGCATTCTAGCCTAGTTTCATAAACAGTAACTCCAATGCTGGCAGGACATTCAGTTTTGTACAGACAGTGGAAATGAGGTGTTTGTTCCACTGCTAAAACCATTGTTGAATATGGCAATATTTTGAAATATTAGGTGTTTGTGTGCTATAAATTTCTGTAGCTTTATCTCAGCAGACTGGCTTATCTTGTCAAAAATGTCTGTATAGCTTTAGGCAGGTGCCATTTGGAAATAATTAATTCTTTTTTCTCCCAGAGTGAACCTGAGAGCAGCTCATGCAGAGCTAATGTACCTCCCCCCGTTGCCTCGTGTGGGCAGGGCAGCCCCAGAGGTCAGGGGTTCCCAGGGAGTCACTCAGACTGTGCTGGGGAGGGGGAACATCCCCATGACACGAGAAGTGCTTCAGACTTTACTGCAGACTCCACCTGATCCTGCCAGAGGTGCTGACAGGAGCCAGGAATGGGATGTTACTGATTTTCCAAGCAGAGCTCAGATGTCCAGAGGTGGGACACTGTGCTATAGATAACACCAAGGTCTTTATCTAGAACAAATTAAATTAGATATCTAGGCATGTCATGTAGGTCTTCACTGAGAAAGGGAACTTTATTTCTGTCTTCAGTTCTTCAGAATGTCTGTTCACAGGACCCAAATGCCACATTTCAGGTGTTAATCTTTGGGATAGACTGGGTACTTCCATTTTAAACTTCATGGTTTAGCTCTCCAGATTTTTCTTTGGCTAATGGCAGCCCTACTTAACAAAAGGATATTTCTTTTCAATTTACAACTGTTTTGTTTCAGAAGGTTTTTCCATGGGAAATTTCATCCCTGCTGCCTGTTGTGTCCACAGCTTCTGAGCCATTCTGCCACGAAAGGAGCCATCAGTGCCTGCCTGTAACTGAAGGTTGTAGGTGAAAATGGACAGTATATGAGAAAGCAGGAATGTCAATATTATATCCTTTCAATTCATCAGTGTTATCAAGCTGTGTTTGGTAGAACAGTAAAGCATAATCACCTGCTTTACTGAAAGTCAGTTGTTTCAGAGATCTGGTCATCCTTGGAGGATTCTTGATGTATGTGTGTGGGAGTTGTAATTTTGTTGTATTTTACATTTGCTAATGTGTAAGTGAGAGGAATTCCTCGAGAAAGCCATCATTTTGGAGTTTCTAGGTATCAGGGAAAATATATAATGGTAACATTTCTGCACTTTTCTCTGTATTCCCTTTGTTTGAGACCACCAAAAAGGTCGTGGCCTCTTCCAGGGCTCCAGAGTCAGCTTTTCTTCCACTTGACCTGGACCCATAAATAAATATCATTTGCACCATATATTTTGTCATCCGGTTTTAAGATTGAGTTATCCAAACCTCACCCTCTCACTTGGTTGCTGAGCTCTGGTCATTTCTGCTCCACTTCTGCTTTCACCTTTTATTTCCATGGTACTTGCTGCTGCTTTTTCATCTTCATCCTCCCTTCCTTTCTCATCCCTGGGAATTTCTCCATTCAGTTTGAACCCTCCTGTTCACCATAAGGAGTCTGTGTTCTATGGCTGAACAATCCTTCAACACCAAGAGACCTTTTTAACCTTCTTCCACCTCCTTTTGAAACCACTTTTACACTTACTTTTTCCCCAGAATAATTTTAATAATTGTTTTCATATCATCATACCTTCCTTGGTCAAGTGACCAGTTGGAAAAATTGCATTTACATCACAATGTTATGTTACCTTGAGGAGCAGAGCAAGGCAGTAATAGCACCTCTGAAGCCAAAATATAGCTGAATATACCTAATTGTTGGCTTAGAGGTCCCTATATATTTTAATTAGTTGTCCTATTATTACCCTAGAGTGCTTTAATTTTAAATGAAACGTAATAGCTGCCTTATCTCTAAGGAAACTGGTCTTGATTTTATTAACTTACAGGACAGAAGAATAATTGGCACATATCATTGTCCAGAAATGTATTCAACAAAGGTATCTTTCATTGTTTTCTAATGTTTTTATCCTCAGACACTTAAAATTCAGGTCTTGGCCGTTTCTGGTCATTAAAGATCCCATGGCACTTTTTTATGGCGTGGTCATCTCAGCCCCAGATCTCGATTTCTGTGACTGTTCTGCTTGCCCAGCATTCCCACCACCCCTCACCCACCCATAGTTCCAATTGGCTACAACATTCTCCATTCCTCAGTAAAATCTGGTTGTTGTTCTGCACTGTCAGTCACCACATTTCACCTCTGGGGTGATGGTGCTTCACTGGGAACTCAAGTGGTTCCTCTTTGTGATGCTCCTAAAGCGCTTTGGGATCCTTTGAATGGGGGCTGCTGTTGGCAAGAGCTGGGATTCCCTGGCATTCTGGCCCAGGGTCACTTAGTTCCAGGAGCATGTTTTATTTAGGGTTGGGCGAACCTACTTGGTGGAAATTTCATTCCCAGCTTTCTCTGAGCTGACAGGGAGCCTTTTGTCCAAGGTTGGAGAGTTGGGTTAATTTATTCTGGATTCTTTGTTCTTTGTTTCTTTCTTTCTTCATTTGTGCTTCTGGATTGGAACTTTGGGAGTTCCTTTACATTGGGAATTCAAAGTACCATGAAAAAATGCAGTTGCTCTTATGGTGAATTCACTGTTTCAGGTGCTGGAGGGTCAACTTAATGCTCAAGAAGCACCTGAACTTTGTGGTGTTTGCCTGGTTATTGTAACGCTTGAAGGTTCGCCCATCACTAATATTTACTGTATTTTTCATTATTTCTTCTGAAAAATTCTTGGAATATTGAAAAATGCTGTCCTTCAGCTCTGATATCGGTGTGATACATGGCAGGAGAAGACACTTTGCCCCAGAAGATAGTTTAGAACATTGCTAAATGTTTTTTTCTGCCCAGCATCACTAATCTTACTAACTGCTTCAGGATTAGCAGATATCTGCAGCAGTTTGCTGTATTAAGAAAACAAGTTAACTGAAGGAATGCTACGTCACTAAAACGTGTCTGTATCTAACTCTAGTAACTAAAATAACTTCCTTGCATGTGTTGCACAGAATGTATGCAAGTATGTAAAGAGAACTTAGATTTCTAATATCATTGCAGATCAAAAGGATAAAATGCTTAAAGTAGATTCACCCTAAGAAGATTTAAGATGTGAACACATTTGTTGGCACTAAAATCTTTCCAAAAATAGTATTTTAGAATGCACAACATTGAGGTGAAAATAAGCAGGCTCTGGGCTAAGGGGTAAAATCACCATGTGATTAGTGGATGTTGTGTCAAACTTCCCCTGATGTCACTGGAACTGAAACTCCTTCTCTTAAGGTCACATGAAACCATGGAAAATGTAGTTTCCAAATGACTTTGCACCCCTCTTGTAAGATACTTACCTCTTTTGGTTTTAGACATTCTTGGGATCAGTGAATGCCAAGTGCCTGTAATTAATGGCTTTTATTTTTAGGATCCTGAAAGTCTTATGGTTGGTCTGAGATCTTGTAACAAAAAGGACAGCCCATTTTGTCTTACACCAAAAAATCACGTAAGAATTTCTAAATAACTGCACTTACTATAAGAAAATGTTTGAAAGCTCCTTTCAGAGTTTCATAGATCTGTTTGACACCATTTCCACATGGATGCTTTTGTTTGTTTTAATGGCAGAATACTGTTTTTACCTTAGTTTTGTCTGATGCAGGTGAGAACCAGTTTGATGGCCTTCCTGGCTAGGACATGCTGTTTCCTCACCATGCTCAGTATTGTGCTTAAATTAATTTTTCTTGAGTTTCAGCTCAACTTTCCCATTTTTCCAGTGCTTTTGAAAAAAAAAGATGGATTTCCCTAACACACTAGAAACTTCAAAGATTTCATCTGGCTTTGATGGAAAGCAAACAAAAATGAAAGATTTTGGCTGCTTCACATCAAGTCACTACATCTAATTTAAAACTCAAATATACTGAAACTAGAGGGGTGCAAACTCACACAGATTGGGTGGGGGAAAAAAGTGAGAGAGAGGGAAATGTGACATCTCAGCAATGGCAGTTTTTGTGCATCACTGGAACAGATGTAATCACTCAAATGACAGTGTTTCAGTAGGTCCAAAGTACTCCTGTGAGCACCTGACTTCCCAGTGCCATGGCAAGTATTCCAGAGAGGATTAATGATGGCAAATACAGTGTGCTGGGTAGTGCAGGAGGTACCTGCTGCTGAGGGCTGGGTTCTAAACATTACAGATGGAAGAATTCCATATTATTGTTCAGAAATCCCCAGAAGTGGCAGTTTGTGTACTTTGAGCAATAACCATGGAATATATTCTGTACACAGGAATGTGTGCACGAGTCATGTGGCTGAGCTATTCTTAAAGGAGCTCTGGGACAAGTCTGTCTCTTATTTGGCCTGGAGTATATCTGCACTACCATCACTAAGGCAGTGTAATTAATTAGCTTCTCATTAGCTGTTATTTCTTTTTAAAGTATTTTTAGTTAATTATACTCTTTAATCACACAATTCAAAATGTATATTTAGAGGGAAGGCTGAGGAGAATTAGAACTTCCTAAATGACTTCATATTTGTTTTCTATAAATGGATTATTTTTAATTTCTCCTGTACTTCAGATCTACTCCAGATTGCCTAAGAGTAGAATTTAGTTCCTTATCTTTGAAATCCTCCTGATCGTCTAAGGGGTTTCTTTACAACATTGCATTAATATTTTTTCACTGAGCTGCCTTTAAAAAAATGCATACTAGCTAAATCTACCCATTGAAACAATTGTTCAGTGTACATTTGATGTGATTACATTCTGCATCTCTTTTTCCTTGCTTGAAATTGGAGATCTCTGCTACTTCAGCACTGAGGTCTCCACAGCATGCACTGTCTGTATGCAACTCATTAGCACTGGGGAATAGAGTTTCCACATAGCTGGTGCCTTTTCCCAGGTAAACACCAGTGCTGGTTGGAATATAGGGACAGAAAATGTGCATTCACTTGTGCAGTGCCCTGTACCTTGTTTAGAGAGACAGAGAGACCTTGTGAGTACTTGAAATTTCTGTCAGAGCAGAAGCTTTCATTTGAAGGAAGAAAGAGCGAAGCAAAGCAGACCCTTTTCCATTTGATTTCCCTTCAAAACCCCTGGAAATTTCAATTTTTTCCCCAGATACCCTTCCCAGAATCCCACCTTCAGGAGCTGAGCGTGGACTTCATTTCCAGCCCGTGCTTGCTGAACGTGGGTCTGGGGCAATGCCCTTTGTTGCCCTGTCCTGTACTGGCCCTGTTGCTGTTGAGTTCCCAAGAGGTGACAGTGAATGCCTGAGGTCCCTCAGAGAGGCTGCCACCCCCAGGGAGCAGGGTTAGGTCTCCCCTCCCAGCATGGCTTGGTTGGCAGCCGCGGGGTTCCCTCTGCCCCGCTCACCCCGCTCTCCGTGTTTTGCAGATGGACCCCCACGAGAACATTTTGTTGAGCACCCTGGAGATCAAGAACGAGATGGCAGCCTCGGAGGCCGTGATGGGGCTGGGAGACCCCCGCAGCACCATGCTGGCCTACGACACCTCCAGCATCCAGTACCGCAAGGCCGGGCTGCCCCGGCACAGCTTCGGCCGCAACGCGCTCGAGAGACACGTGGCCCAGAAGAAGAGCCGGCTACGGAGAAGGGCCTCGCAGCTCAAAATCACCATCCCGGACTTGACTGACGTCAACGCCATCGATCGGTGGTCCCGCATCTTCTTCCCCGTGGTTTTTTCCTTCTTCAATATTGTCTATTGGCTTTACTATGTGAACTAAGAGACAAAGCCACGCAGGAAGCAAGAACTGGATTTCTCTTCAAACCGGTTGTACAGCCAAAAGTGGGACTTAGAAAAATTCTATTCAGGACAAAAAGTTACTTTAAAACACCTTAGTTGCTGGCCCACTCTATGGTCTGTTTTTATAATGTTTTGGTTGTCTCTGCTAAACCACATATATGTTAAGTTGCAGTATGGACATATCCCCCTATCAAAATATAAGTGCATTTGGAGTGTGAAGGCAAATTGGATTTTGAAAATAGTTTCTGTCTCGTCCTTCACTTCCTTTTTATTTTTTTGGTCCTTTTTTTTGATGGTCATTTGATTTTAGTGCTACAAATTATAGAGCAGCATTTGAGAAACAAGTTTGAATTTCAACAGCAGTACATGCCATTCCCAGGGAAACTGCATATCTGAGGCATGCACCGACACTGCAAAGGGTGTACTGAGTTGTTGTCATGCTTAGCAAGCATACACTTTACTTTTCAAATGTGTAAACTTGAAAACAAATAGTGCCTATCATCTTTCCAAGATGATGATGGTCAGAGGTTTCCCAACCATATTCAGGTATTTCCTTTTATTTATTGAAAGAATTAAACCTTTGACTGATAATTTTAGGGTTGGGTGTTTGCACAGAAGCTGAAGCAAGAAGCACTAGTTTTGTTTGTCTTTAAAGGGAGAACAAATGCTCACAGCCACAGTGGCCACAGTTGGGATCAGTACAGGAATGTAGCAACGGGGTAAAAATGCATCAGTGATGAAGGGGTAAATATTCTGCTGGGCTGGGTTGGGGAAAGGGAATCATCTGTCCAAAGTGCCAAAATTGGTTACCCAAATAGTAATTCTGTAGATGGCTGAAGGAAAGCAGGGATGCCCTGCTTTCCTCTAGGGCAGGGAGAGCTGGGGAGCAATCACAGAGTCCAGGGGCAAGGAGAGGAAAGGCTGCACTATGGAGAAGTGTGTGTGTGTGTACACATATATATCTGTACACATGAATATCTGTACACATAAATATCTGTACACTGTGCAAATTGTCAGTTGTACCTCAGTCTCAAACAGTCGTGTGGAGCTGTGTGATTTCTTCCAGGTTTGCCTCTTTCCACATTATTCCTGCTGCTCTTGGATAATGGTGGTACAGTTCTTCCAGCAGTGGAGATCCCAGCAGATGTATTTCCATACAGGGTATTTTCTCAGTCTGGATTAGGCAATACCATTTCACTTTTGGTTTTCCTTAATGCACTGTTTTAAGGGAAAGAAATTGGTAGCAATGACTTTAAGAGTTTAATTCACTCTTGAGTGTTTCCTGTTTAGGGTGATTTCTATTGAAAAACTGGCAAATTTCAGTTTTTCTTTAGGAAACCTTTTGAAATGAAAGGTTGGGGTTTTTTCATTCCATAGAGCTTTACTTTTACAGAGAAAATAGAATAAACAAAAAATAATGTAGACAAAAATAATTTTGTCATTTATTCCACTGTGGGAATTTTCTGTAATGAAAAAAGCAATCACAAGAACTGTAGAAAAAGTATAAATTCTTGATGGCTTTTACTAAATCAGATCCCCCGATATTGTTCAACATACAATGTTTCAAGAAGCAAAAGCCACATCTTTTGCATCCATACTACCTCTTATCTGTGTACAAATCTTTGAAAGAAATTAGATAGTGAAGGGTTTTTTCAGGAGAGAAATATATCTTGAGAATATTTTTCATAAAATATTTTCTTTTAATTTTTTGTTCTTTAAAAGAATAATTTTCTTACAAGTTTCTGTGGATTTTTTTCCCTGATTGTCAGTGAATGACAGTGATAGGAGGAGAATAGTTCTGGGAACTAATAGGCCAATTTTCTGACTTTGTTTTGAGCATCTCATGTGCTTATTTCTGCTTCCCATGGGAGGGGCTGGTTTCTGAGCCTGAGCTGGGATTTGCCATCCCCCCTCCGTGGCAGGAGGTTGGGTGGGTGTTCAGGTGCTGCCTCCAGGTTCAGATCTGCACTAGGGACAGACTTTCACCCTGGGGTTCACTCTCCAGGTCAGAGGTTCCCAGTTTGTTCCCACGCTCAGTCTCTGCTGCATTTCATGCTCGATGCAATAACCTTTGTAGATGCACTTGGGATTTCTGCTGGGAGCTGGGATTCACTCTGGAATCTTTTCCCAGTTCTAAGAAATGGAGCCCCAGCAAAATTCAGTATTTCTCTTGGAGGTCTGTTCTTTAAAAATGGTCCTAATTACCCTAAGTAAAAGCAGTGTCATAGTATCCTGCAAAGGCTTTTCTTTTGCTCCCGAAATCTCTGCTGCCTCCTGTTTTCCTGCCCAGAGCAGAGTGGGACTGCAGGGAGCTCCCACCTGCCTGGGTTGGGACCAGCAAACCCAAGAGCTTACAGGGAATTGCTGACTCTGCACTGGTTCCCTGCTCCAGCTGTTCCCAAACCCACAGAGATGGACCCTGGACCTGCACATCTCTCACTGAAGCTCCAGAACAAGCCATAACACTCTCTGATGCTGCTGCTCAGAGAGGGAAAGAAATGTTTGGTTTCTGCTCAGGTGTCTCTAGGAAAGACAAATTATCTGGGGGGAAGGAGCACTTCTGCTTTTCCTATGTCCTTCTGGCTATTAATGTGATGTATAAAAGTAGTGAAAGAGAAGGATTCTATCATTTTCTACCAAGGCTTAACACTGTGATCTAAAGGGGTGGGGGTGAGGAAGGCTGGTGAGGCACTGCCAAGGAGAAGGAACTTGAGCCCAAGGTGAGCCCTCACTGCTCTCCTGAGGTGCTCGAGTGAAAGGGAGGAATTCTGCCAACATACATGAGATATGGGGTTTGCTACGTGTGCTCCCCTCCAGGTAAACTAGAATAAATTCACTTTTACTTTAGAATTGACCGAAAATTAATGTTCTAGATCTTTTTAATCGTGTTGATTGTTGTTAGTTTCAATAAACAAAATATCAAAGTGAATAATTTAGATAAAACTTGTAATATAATTATAGTTGCACATTTTATTGTTCTATTAGACATAATAGCCAGCAATTAAGGTGTTTTTCATCTTTGTGAAATTCATGGATGAATTATGACTATAACATGGCACAGTTTTAATGAAATATTTGAGATCAATCTGTAAATATATTCTGTACATGACTGCTAGTAAGTGATACACATTTTCAGAACTGACAATTCATGCAACATGTTTCTGTGTTTGCATAAGGAATGTTACGTTTCTATCCTATCGCAGTTCAATGACTGGGAAGAAAGACTCAAGCAATGACATCCTGACCATTTCTTTTCTCATTCCCAGGGGAGGAAAAGTGTTAGATCACAGCATGGCACAGAGTTCTTCAGAGAGTTCTGACATCCTGACAAAAAGGACATAAAATCTGTAAGGTACAAAAGCACAATGCATAGAGAAGATGAGTGGTGGTCTCACACCTGGGGAAAAGATCCTATTTATTTCAGAAAAATATGCATTAAAATGAAACCTCAGTTAATTTTCACTGTATTTATTAGACTGTGTTCCAATTCTGTAACACAGTGGTAACCACAAGTGAAGGGATGTGAAACATTCTCCAGCTGTATGTGCATATGGACACAGCCCTGCCTGTCTGTATGGACATGTGTGTGTGTATACCCAGGGCAGTGTGGATGTGCACACCCTTTCATCTCTTGGTGTGTTAAAGGAATAAGCCAGTACTAGTTTTGTTTCTACCATCAACCAGTGTGTGAATATATTTTTGACAAAAGGAGATTAATGTATTTCAGCAAACCAAACAACTTCCTCTACAGGGTAACTGGGCATTCCTGGGTGAGCAGCTCAAGGCTGGGTCTGTCTGGAGTGTTGGTGACAGTCCTGTACCTCCTGCAGCTGGAACCACACCAGTCCTACATTGCTTGCCTATTTCTTCTCTCTTTTTATAACAGCATTGTCCACTAGTAAGTTTTCAAAACCAACCAATTCCTTAGGGAACCAACAAAAAAAAGGCAAAAATAGTAACTATTTCTAGAAAATAATCTAGGGTGGGCTGGCCAGGGTACAATACTATATCAGTAGTGATCATAACATTTTGCTCTGTGTACATAGAACATCCAATGTGAGCAACCATGACTTAAGCTGAACGTGTGTAAATATTATCAGATTTCTTAAACATTTTTAACTTCTAATTTGTACTTTATGGTAAGGCAAAAAGCTAATTCTACTTATGGTTTAGGTTAATGTGTCCTAAAATTATGTAAATAATTAAATAAGCTGTAAATGAGCAGGCCATAGATACAGTATTTGTTTAGTGACTTTTTTTTACTAAGTACAAGAATTGCAGTGCTCTAGCAGAGTAATTTAAACACCCTTTTGCATAAACAGATTTGGACTCCAGATATCAAATAGTACAGAAGGTGCTGTGGTGTAGAGTGGCCGTGGTGGCAACGTTCCTGCTGGCACAAGTGACTCTTCTGTGTGGTTACAGTGTGCAGGCACCCCCAGAGCTCGGGCTCAGAGCTGGAGCAGCAGGAACAAAGGGCCTGGGTTTCACTTGCTGTGAGGCACTTTGGTGTTGCTGCAGGGATGGACAGGTGAACATCAGGGTAAGTGAGAGCTGAGCTGGTGATTTCCTTGCAGAAGCTGCATATTGCTCTGTCTGTCTCTGAAATCTCTCTCTCTTATGGTATCTAATAGTAGACTTCTATTTTTCTTTAAAAAAAAAAAAAAAGGTTTGACTGTCGTTAGATAGCATAGTCCCCCAAAGCCAAAGAACCTTCACTCCAGAAATTCTTTAAAAGGGAAATCTAATAAGTCACTGCTTAACACCAAAGGTAAAGCTTAATAAAATGCACTAGGAACTTTGTCTAAATTTTTAAGAAGCAAATGGAATGTTGATGATCAAAAAGACTGCCCTATTCTACTTTGTAAAAATAGTAATAATTTAAATATCCATTATATAAAATTGAAATAGATCATCTCTACAAGAATATGCAACACTAACATTTCATAAGTATAAAATTATTTTCTTTGTAAGTGCTTTGACAAAAAATGAAACTTAAATGATGAAAAATCTCACCTCTACTTTCATACTAAGGGTTGTATTTTTTTAATGTTTTTCAGACATGAGGTCATCTATTCCAATTTGATAGCATTTTGTATGTTTTCACTGTTGCTGTCGTTTGGCAGATCCTCACCAGGCTGTATTGTTCATGGTCTGTCCTGTTACTTTCAGTTGAAGACAAAAAGAACATTTGAAACATGATTAATTCTGACAAACTGCTTATGATTTGACTTCTGTCACGTTTTTATTTGCATGGGTGTTTAAATGGTTCTGTTAGTACTGTCTTTGCACAGTTCTGATTTATCTTTTTTTACTTAGTACTATTTATTTCATAATGTAGTAATCATCAGCCTTACTAATGACCTTGTAGCCTTTCTTATATGCACATAATGCACATTTTCCAATGGCTAGAAAATGCAAAATACTAGTGGATATCATTGCATCAGATCTTCATGTCTTTCTCAAAAGGACTGCTAACCTCTGGGATATATGAGGTAGTAAAATGATGATTGTAAATGAGTAGCACATAAGAGATATTTTCTTGAATTTAAAATTATTGCAGCCAGTTTCAGCATGTAAATATATAATAATGTTGGCTAGTGTGTAATTCTTGAATTAAAAAATATAAATAAAGAAAATCTAAAATCTGTATATGTGGTTGTGTTTGTTGGGCAGGACCTTTCCCAGAGCTGCAGGAGCTGAGGGATCTCACCTGAGGTGAGTGTGGGTGAGTTCGGGGCAGGAGGGGTCGGGCAGGGGGGCTCAGAGGCCCCTCAGGGCAGGGATCCCACGGGAAGGGGCAGCTGAACACGGAGCTCCTGGGCCTGGGCTGCCCTCGGGGCAGGGCCGTGTCTGGGGCTGCTCCATCCAGGGGGATCTGGGGCTGCTCCCTCAGCCAAGGCCGAGATCCGGGGGAGCAGCTGGAAATGTGCTCAGTGAGGCCTGGTCAGAGTGAGCTCCTGTGAGCCCATCACTGCTGGGCAGGTCTGGTGTCCTCCTCCCAGAAACGTGGGGGGTCTGTTCCTGCTGGGAGGGTATTTCCTGCTACAGAAAAAGTGTTAACATCTGACTGCGTGCACTTCAGATATGGAAGTCCCAAGTTCCTTTCCTTCCTCTTCTTACTTACCATCAAACAGGAGAGATCCCGGATGAGCAAATTTTTGCTCCTTTGGAGCTGGTGGATTGAGCAGATTTTCCTGTTCGAGTGGTTCTGTTGCATAAAAACCCCATTCCAGGTGAGCAGACCAGGGGACAGAGCAGCTGAGGGTGGTTATGAGAGGGGTCTGCACTGCTGGGCTCCTTCTGCTCAGAGCTTTGAGTCAGCACTCACAGGGATCAGAAACTGGGGTCTTCTTGTGCTCCCCAAAGGGAACATGGCCACTGACACAGGTCTGTTCTTGCTGCTTTCTATCCTCATGAATCTTGAGCCTTAAACAGACTTCAGACTTAGACCTGTTTGCTGTGCTGAGAGGGCAGTTCATGTCCTCCAGTTCTTGTTCTCTGCCATCCCAGCTCTAATGAAAGGGAACCCCTCCTGTGTTCCCAAACCCCAGGGATCATTCCTTGGGTGATACAACTGCAGTTATTGGCAGCTTTAGCTCTACACACCCACAGTAGATGCTTTGGTTGATCCAACCGGGGGAGCAGATGGAGACCAGCAAAGGGAACAAATGGCCATCAGACCAAAGGCTGCCAAGGGCTAAAACTGCCAAATCCTGGCTTTGATTTGGGAATGAAGACAGCAGTTGGTGATTCCTTTTGAAGTTCTCCCCCTGGCTGCTCTCTGTAGCAGCCCCCCAAGAGCTCTGCTCTCCTGGGGGATCAGTTCTGTCCCACTTTGCTGGGATGAAGATCCGGTTCTGCAGAGAGAGAGCAGAGCTGAGTCTCACAGCTGTACTGAGTGAGGAGTGCTGGGTGCAGGAGACATGGAACATGAGATGGAAAATATTCCAGGCTGTTACAGAAAGCTCTAGTCTGACTTCCTGCCTTCCCTCTTTAAAATACCACATCTTCTGAAGCTTCTGAACAGGAGATCGTGGTTCTGAAAAAAGACTCAAATTTCAGCACAGCTGCTTTGTCACAACTCTGTGATTTACTGTTGACCCTTATTTTCAGAGATTATTACAAGCTAGGAAGCAAATATTTCAATTTTAAGACTGTTTATGATTTTGAAATCTAAAAATATTTATATTAATTGGTGAGTATAATTTCCAAAACAAAATTGTCTATCTGCCATTTCATCTGTTTGTATCTATAAATGCATTTAATGTTATCACATCCTAACAGGTGTCATATCAAATTCACTGGCACAAAAATAAGACTAGTATTATAGAGTATTTGAATAATTTATTTCCTTTATTCTGATCTTTAACACGTCATGACTTGTGTAATGTGACCTCTCCCTCATTCAATTTACTTGATTGCAAATTAGAAACCTTAATAGCAACTTCTTATTGGGAAATTGTACTGTTGAATATATCTTTATAATCTCAAATTAACAAAACATGACAAAAATTATCTAACATCTCAGTTCTTAACTAATAAAAGGAAAATCAGCATGTTAAAGAATGAAATTATGCATCTGTCAAATATTGAACAGCTGTGAATCAGTGAAATAATGGGCCCTGGCATGGAGCACATTGTAACTGCTGCATATTAAGGGAATGTAACATTACAACTACATAGCAAGTATGCTCAGTAACCCACATGCTTTGGTTATCAAAATTAATGACCAGCATGACATTATTAATTTGTAATGCTTGTTATTCTTGAGGGATATTTGGAGTGACTGATTTATTATGGTGTTCAGATGAGTCCAGGCAAGTGAGAAATTTAAAAAAAAAAAAAAAAAGCTGGTTCTGTGGAGAAATGGGGGTTGGGTATTCAGGTGATGAGAATTGCTTATACAGGAGACACCTTTGCCTTGGCTGAGACTGGCCCAGGCAGGTTTTTGGGGGGAGAAGGAGTGTTTACTTCAATGTCAGGGCAAAACTTTTGAATACATCTTATTCTTGGAACAAAAGTATTTTTCCCCCTTTGTGACAGGTTGTCAGAGCTGACAGAGTGCATTGATCTGGGCACAGGGATGGCTCAGGGCAGCTTCCAGCTGAGAGCACTGCCCTGAACCTGCTCTGCTTTGGAAAGGAGGCAGCCAAGGGAACAGAGGCTGCTTGGGCTCCCTTACAAATGCTTTAAAAACTGAATCCTGCAGACTGTGCACTTTCCAGCTGTGGTGGTGCTCCTCAGTTCCCCAGTGGTCCTTGAGTGGAGATCCCTGTGTGTCCATGGAATGTGTGCTCACAGGGGCTCACAGGTCTCAGCTGGGTTGGTACATCTGTGTTCTGCTGCTTTGTAAGCCCACGTGAAACTGGACTGTGACCTTTGAGTTCTCCTTGTTAAACATTTCCAAAGATCTTTTCTGAAGAGTCTGACTGATCATGTCAGACTTTAATCTGCAACCCTTTGCTGAAATCTTCTGGCACTGATGCTGATGAAGGTATGTGGAGAGACATCCCAGGCAAGCCCAGGGGGGCAATGTCCTGCAGGTGACAGGGAGTGAAGTCCTGTCAGATGCTCTGTGGCAGCAGCACAAAGGGCAAGATGTGCAGGGATAAACCCACAGCACAAAAGCTGTTTGGTCATGGTGGGATGGGTGCAGTCCCTTTGGTGAGGGTCAGATCTCCACTTCCATGTCATGCAAGGAAATTGTTTCCTCAGGTGGGAAGACGTTGGCAAGAGAAGGAATGTGGATAATAAACAGATTGAAACCTCCGTGTCAGGGCAGCAAGATTTATCTGCAAGATTTGCAGACAAATTGAATTGGGTTTGATGTGCTTCAGTGTTTTAGGTTATGAAAGATTGAGGCTTTTTTATTGTTGTTGTTGTTAGTCATCATTCAAAAGATATCTGAGGGAGAGATATGTGTCAAACAGACAGAAAAAAAATCACTGGAAAGAAAAAGGGGAAAAAAGAAAAAGAACCCCAGTGAGGGGAAATCCAGC